GAAGCACTTACAAAGCAAAATTATTGGATCTGTTGTTGGTATTTTCCACTGTGGCACCGCATCATTTGTAATTGTATAAAAGTGGTGTTCATGCTCAATGAAGTATTTGACAAATTCTTTTCGATGTTTCACTACATCTTCTCGTTCATGTCCAAGAAAGTATGGTCGACTTGAATTTACTGTGAATTTTGCACCAAATCGACGTAAATCTAATTTACTACTTTCGAGTGATCTGACTAATTGTTGATCGACTTTCTTTTGATTATTTAATTCATAAAAACGTTGGCCAATAAATCGTGCCAAAGTTTCGGCTGTAAATGTTGCTTCTGTTTTCGAGCATTCTTGATAAACAAATTGCTTTGCTTCTAATTCTAAATCTGGATAGCAATCCCAAAATGCATCACCTTGTTTACCTCCTCTTTCATCATGTGTAAATTCATCAAAATCATTCTTCACCAAGATGCTTGACCATTTGTGAGCTGTTTTTGCTGTGGTACCACCAATATTATCCGAAAATGCATCGATAACTCGCCAGGAATGACCGAAATAACGCAAAGTCATGTAAAGTAAAACACTAATGAAGCGAGTGTCGATTTGAGTCTTACAAAATGAGAAAAGATCAAAAATCTCATCCACAATAGAATCTTGTAAGAAATCGATCGAATCAACATTGACATTTTCTTCGATCATAAATTGTTCTTCATCACTAGATACATCAGAAGATTTTACAGATTCACTTTCCATTGACCACCTTCTTCTTATTAAACCAAGATTATGATTTCGTTGCTTTTTAAGTTTTGGCATATTATTAGAAATAATGAAAATACTTTGAACTGTTCATATACTAGAATTACTAAAAAAATGGGAACACCTTCACTCTAGAAAACCGTTACGATTTCTCCTTTCCGTTGAAAATAAAATAAAATTTATTTCTAAAACATCCATGCAGAAGAAAAGAAATGATGGCGCTATGTTGCATATCGAATTCGTATTATAAATATCGAACATTTTTTCATTGTCCATCACATTGCGAATTTCACAATCTGAAAACCACGACTCAGGAAAAATTGTCAGTAGCTTCAATATACAATTTGAAATACTTTTTATTGAATTCTCCGTTGTTTTTAATCTGTTTTCCTTGTTATTGA